GGAGGAGGGGTAGGAGGAGGGGGAGGGGGAGGAGGAGGAGGAGGAGGAGGGCGCGCAAGGAGGCGGGGGGGCGAGGCATAGGGGGGTGCAGCGAGGGCTGCAGAGGAGGGGCCCTTCAGGGCCAGAAAGGGGCCCTCTGACAAGGGCACCTTTGCCCGCCCCCCACCAATCATCGCCTCCCCATGAATTTGCACCCGAGGTCGGCGTGGGCGACGGACTGGGGGGGGCGATGCTCAGACACGCGCGGAGGGGGGTAGGGGAGGGGGGAAGGCGCGCCCGCCCCCTACCGCCCTCCCCCTACCACCCCGTGCGCGCCGCTAAGATACATGTGGGGGGGGGGGGGGGGCAGCGATGGGTGCAGAGAAAGGGCCCTTCAGGGCCCCGAAGGGGGCCTCTACAGGGTCTGAAGAGGGCCCTTGCTCCCCACCGCACCAATTTGCCGCGCCCCCCATTCATTCGCGCCCAAGGTCGGCGTGGGCGACGGCGCGCTGACAGAGGCGCTGCTAGCGCGCCCCGGCTGCGAGCGGGTGGTCGGCTTCGAGATCGATGGCGACATGCTGCAGGCCGCCCTGCGCCGCGGCGCTCTCGTGCGCGCCGGCGTCGCGGCGAGGCTGCTGCCGCCCGGGGCGGCGGGGTGGGCGCGCCGAGAGTGGGCGGAGGCGCTGGCCGCGCTGCCGGCGGGCGCGCGCTGCGCGCTGCTCCATGGAGACGTGCTGTCGTGCGCCTCCGTCCCTGGGGAGTGTCAGGCTCAGAGGGCGACAAAAGCACGGTGGGTTCATGCGGCGTTGGCGCGCCGGTGACGCCAGCGAAGGCGTTCCAGGGTGAATTCTGCGGCGCGGAAGCACCGAGGGACGCGGTGACGCCACGGGACACGGCGGAATTCAGTTTTTAAAGATCGGGACCGCGATCGGTTCAAGGTTGAACGATCGACGCGGTGTCGAAAACCTTTGCGCGTGCCGACGCCGCACGAACTTGCCGTACTGATACCGCTGCCTTTCCCTGGTTTTCGCCACGGTTGGATTAATTTCCACATCCTGGTCGGAGAGGATCCCGGGAGAGGTCCAGAGAGCAGCGGTATGGGTACATCTTTTGGTTCCCCCAGAGGTGGTGGCTGGAAACATCCCCTACCGCATCTCGACCGCCATCGTCTGCCGCCTGCTTCTCCAGGTCCCGCCCCTCCGGCGCATCGTGCTGCTGGTCCAGGCCGAGTTTGCCCGCAGGCTCCTGGCAGCGCCCGGCAGCATGAAGTACGGGAGAGTCTCGGCGCTGGCGGCCTGTCTCTGCGGCAGCCGCAGGCTGGTTGAGGGGGCGGTCCCAGCGCAGCTCTTCTCGGGGAGCAACAAGATGGCATGAGTAAACTTTCGGAGGTCCGCGCTGCTTTCGCGGATCGGCGCTGGACCCCCCTCCCTGACGCGCGGAGCGCGCCAGGGTCGGCGTCGGAGGCGCCGCCAGGGGGTTCCGGCGCCGACCCAAGAAATCCGCCTCGGCCACCGAAAGCTCGTGCTTGTGCCATGCTTTGTTCTTCGGCCTTCAGCCCAGCGCCGAAGGTGGACTCGGCCGTGGTTTCGCTGGAGCCGCTCCCGGGCGGGTGCCGCAGCGAAGGAGGTCGGGCGGGGCTAGCGGCCATGACATGGACAGTCTCGTTCCACAGCGTTGCGGAACGCTCTCGGAGCGCTCGGGAACGCGTCGAGAAGGCCGCGGCGCCCGATACATCCTCCAGAGCCGCGAGATCTCAGAGAGCTCCTATTGATCCCTGTCCCGTCTCAGAGGTTCTGCCGTCCACCCTGCCGTGCTGGAGCGGCTGCTGCGCGGGCTCCTGGATGGCGCGCGAGGTCCAGCGCGCGGGCTCGGCGCGGAGGAGATGCTTGCGCAGAGCGAGGATCGGCGGAAGAAACACGCTGAGCATGAGGAGACCAGACCCAGACCCCTCGCGTCGTGAACAAAAACACGACGCGGGGCGTTTTGCTATTTTCAGCCTCGGGCGCTCTCGCTGGGCCCCGCGACCATCGAAACACGACTCAGGATGGAAGGGAATTGGTCGAAATCTTTGGTTGTCGACGTTATGGCCTTGATCGAACCACGAACCTGGAAAGGAATCGTTTCCAAGCACCTCAATTGGGCGATGGGCGGTGGCAGTGCTGAGGATATCAGTGGTGATGATACTGTGCCCGGGGCTGTGTTGTGCTGCTCTGCGCTGAGCCGCGCCGCAAGTATCAGCGGACGCGCCACGGAACGTGTCAGTGGACGTGCCAGGGGACGTGCCAAGGGACTCGCCGCCCGATGTGCCATGGCGACGCTCCAGGGGATTCGCCACGGAACGTCCCAGGGGAATTGCCTCAGAACGTGCCAGCGGACGTGCCAGTGGGCGCGCCGCTGACGCGCCCAGGGGACGCGCCACAGAACGTGCGAGGGAACGTTTCCGAGAGCCCCGATCCCTTGTAATTACGCTGCGTCCGCGGTCCCATGCCCAAGATCCCTTGAAATGACTCTGGATTTGCGCTCCCAGGGCCGCGTTCCTTCGTATGGTACGCTGTGGCAATGGGAACACATGTGTTTTCACGCTTGTCCCGTCTTGAGGCGTTGGGACCCAAGTGTTGTCACGTTTGTCCTGTCCCGCGGCAGTAGAATCCCATGTGCGTTTCACGTTGTGTCCCGCTCTGAAGCGCTAATTAGGAACCCATGCGGTTTCATAATTTTCCCGCTCTAGGGCGTTAGGAAGCCAGGTGGTTTCACGCTTGTCCCGCTCTGGGGTCTAAGGGACCCATGTGTCGTTCACGCTTGTCCCGCTCTGGGGCGTTAGGAGCCCATGTGGATTCACGCTTGTCCCTGTCTGGGGCGTTAGGAGCCCACTTGTTTTCACGCTTGACCCGCTCTGGGGCGTTAGAATTACTGTGTTTTCATGTTTGTCCCGCTTGAAGGCGTTTAGGAACCCATGTGTTTTTCACGCTTGTCCCGCTCGTGATGCGTTAGCAACCCATGTTTTTCACAATGGTCGCGCTCTAGGGCATTAGGAACTTACGTGTTTTGACGTGTGCCCTGCTCTGGGGTCTTAGGGACCCATGTGTTTGTCATGCTTGTCCCGCTCTGAGGCGTTAGGAACCTAAGTATTTTCATGTTTGTCTCGCTCCGGGGCGTTCGGAGCCCAAGTGTTTTCACGCTTGCTCCGCTCAGGGGCGTTCTGAGGCGTTCGGAACCCATGCTTTTGTCACGCTTGTCCCTCTCTAGGGCGTTTGGAAGCCAGGTGCTTTCACTTTTGTCCCGCTCTGGGGTGTTAGGACCCATGTGTTTTCACGCTTGTCCCGCTCTGGGGCTTTAGTAACCTGTGTGTGTCCACGGAGTCCACGATTGTTCCGCTCTGAGGGCGTTAGGAACCGACGTGGTTTCAGGCTTATCTGGCTCTGCAGCGTTAGGAGCCAAAGTGTTTTTTACGCTTGTCCCGCTCTGGGGCGTTAGGAGCCCCAAGTGTTCTCATGTTTGTCCCGCTCTGGGGCGTTCGGAACCGAAGTGTTTTCACGCCCGTTCCGCTCTGAAGCGTTCGTATCCCACGTGCGTTCGCGCTCGTCCCGCCTTGGGGCGTTCGGAACCGAAGTGTGCTCACGTTTGCCCCGTCCTGCGGAGTTCGGATCCCGCGCGTTTTCACGGTACGTCCCGCTCTGAGGTGTTGCGAGCCCAAGTGTTTTCACGCTTGTCCCGCCTTCGGGCGTTACGACCCACGTGTTTTCACGCTTGTCCCGCTCATGCGGGTTTAGAACCACGCGCGTCCGCATTCCAAGTACCCCCTGGGCGTTCTGGGGCGCAAGCCGCTCAAGTTTTGCAGAACAAGCGTTACGCTCGAGGCACCCTCGGAACTTCTTCGCGCAGGTCGCGCCGTCCTCGAGCGGGCATGCAACAAGTTAAACATTGGTAGTTTGCTGTGCAAGTTTAGGGCCTCCAGACATCGTTATTCATGGCATATTCTGCGCAACTAAAAACGCGTTGCGTTTTTCTTCCGAAGCGTATCGGCGATCCGAGCGGGTACGCGCGAAATTCTTGCAAGCAGCTTGTGAGTTGATATTGTTATGTACCGAACGGACATCTGGCAGCCCTCTTCGAACATGGCACCAGGGACAGTGGAACAAAACTACAACAGAACCCTGGGCCCGCGCCCTTTCCGAGAAATGAATACGACGATGGTCTGGAGAATTCGCGCTGACCATGGCACTGAAGTTTGTCGACGTGGACCTTGGCCATTGTCCTTGCTGGCCGTCGCCGATTCTCGATTCTCGATGTTGCTCCACGAGTTTTACGGAGACGTAAGACTCGAGGCCGACAGAGCTCGGGTTAGCCGCCGCTTTCGGACGGGCCCGTCTTGGATTTTGACGGCACAGTTTATTCCAGATTTCGAAATAAATGGGAGGGGGTCACACCGCTCCCAGATTAGCAGTTTTAGACACCCCCAAGTCCAGCCATAAAGGGCGGCCTTCTGCCCGGACCCTACTGGAACCCTCCAAGACAGCTCAAATCAGATCTCCCCCCAAATGTGACCCCCCCGTCTTTATCACGAAATCCTGAGTACTCGGAATGCGTGCAGCTGGAACCCGCGTCAAATTTCAGACTGGGGCCCGTCATTTGCCTGGCGGCCCTCCGAACCCGAGTCCGACATCTCCCCGAGAGTAGGCGATGACTCAGACGGACGAAGACCAAGAGCCACACCGACGCTTCCGCGTTCAGTCTTGGTCATCGTCCGAGGAGGAGGAGGAGGAGGAGGAGGAAATGTCATAAATATACAATCTCGATGCTCCGCGCGGATTGTGCAGATCGGCACTGGGCCCCCCGCCAGAAGGGCCCACTTCCGATCCAAGAAACCATCGGACGGGGCTAGGATTCAGTCGGGCCTGTCCCTCTACAGGGGGAATAGTCAAAGATAATAAAGAACATAGCCTGGGGACGACTTTTTGACAATTTCTGATTGTTTTTGTTATTGTTGGTATTCTTAATTTTTCGTATCCGCCTGTAGGGGGACATGCACGACCTACGGCTAGGACGATGAATCCGTTCCAGAGCGTTTCGGAACGTTCTCAGAGCGTTCGGGAACGCTCCGAGAAGGCCGTGGCGCCCGAGGCGTCCTCAAGGACCGCAGCCCTCAGAGATTCTGGGTTTACGTATCCTGACCCGGTTCTATCCTTGTCCTGGTTTCGTCTCAATCCAGTGAGGAGCTCCGACTGTGCATCGGTTCCCCGAGTTCAGTCCTGGCCGTGCTCCTCCCCCCACGAGAGGAGCCGCTCGGGCTGCCCGGCGGCTGGCGCTCCGCCGTGGCCGCCAGCGGCGTCGGGGCGGCGCCGGTGATCTCGCTTGCGCCCGAGCAGCTGGCGGGGCTCGCGGCGCGGTTGCAGTCGCTGGGGTGGTCGGCCCAGGGCCCCGGCGCGCCAGTGAGGAAAATGGTCGTTCTTCGCTTCCTCCTCGTCTGCTCCTCTTCTGCTGCTCCTCCCTGTCCTCCTCTTCTGCTCCTCCCCCTCTCCTCCCCTTCCTCCTCCTCATCCTCCTCCTTCCCCTCCTCCTCCTCCTCCTCCTCCTCCACCTCCACCTCCTCCTCCTCCACCATCTCCCTCTCCTCCTCCTCCCCATCCTCCTCTTCTTCCTCCTCTTCCTCCTCCTCCTCCTCCATCTCCCTCTCCTCCTCCTCCCCATCCTCCTTCTCCTCCTCTTCCATCTGCTCATCCTTCTCCTCCTCGTTCTCTTCTTCCTCCGCATATGCCTCCCTATCCTCCTCTCCCTCCTCCTCCACCCTCTCCGTCGTCATCCTTCTCAACATCATCAGTATCAGCATCAACATCAGCATCAGCATCAGCATCATCAGCATCAGCATCAGCATCAGCATCATCAGCATCATCAGCATCATCATCAGCATCATCAGCATCATCGTCATCCCATTCCTCCTCTTCCTTCTTGGAAAAGACAAACGTTCCTCTTCCGCGGGCGAAGAGCAGTATCCGCGCGGCCTCGCGGGCAGGGCCGCTGGGCCGCGACCCCGTGGATACAGACGGAGAGTTTCTTCGCGGATGCCCCGTGCGAAACGCAACCGTACGGCCGCGCATCCGCGGGATCTCGCCCTGAGATCCTGACCGCGAGGATTCGGCCAACGGAGCTGTTCGCCGCTCGTGATTATGTGTGATTGTCCATCGGTTGTTGAAGTTCGGTATTTTTGGACTCCAAGGTCCCACATCTACTTGCGGCGCCTTCCTGCCAAAGGCATCGAGCGGTTTTCCCTTTCTTTTCGTTTTGTGGGAGCGGGCGGAAACCCATGCTATTTCCGATGCCATCCTAATTTGTTTCAGGTTTCTACTAACTTTTCCCGACCAGTGAGCACTCTTTGCTGCGTCTCCCTTGGAGAGCTCGTCGCGGCGCCGTGAGAGGCAGCAGGGGTCCGATGTGTGCTAGGTTCCCGAGGATGGGGCGTGGCAGCAGGAAGCGGAACCGAGGCTTTCAGGACCCCATCCTTATTCAACAACCCACCCTCATAACGCTTCTGTGTGCTCGTGTAGCTGGACACCTGATGCGAATCTTCGTCGAGGTCGTGCTGGCCTGATGCGGCACTTTTTGGATTCGCGATTCTCTTCGAAGCGGATCCTGATTTGCTGGATGTTGTGCACCAGCGTTTCAGCACAAATGGCGTGTGCCAGAGTGGGGGCCCTGCAGCCCCCCAAGCCGTAGCCGTGCTCCGACACTGCCACTCCTGGGGTTGGTATGGGGGCCGACCTCGTCCCTTCGATGTCTCTTCCTGGGAGCTGCGACATTGAAATTTCACGTTTCCTGCGTTTGCATCGCAGTTGGCCTTTCCTCATATTCCTCCTCGCCCTTGCTGTTCCTCCTCCCCTTCCTCGTGCTTCTCGTCTCCCGTGTGAAGCGACGAATCTGGACCAAGTCTTGTCCAACTATGTTCCAAATCTGGTCCAGTCCATGCCCAAATCGAAGAGCGCCAGGGGCCACGTAGGCCCCAATGGAACAGGCACCAGACTTTCCAAGATGGCTCCGACACCTCTGGGTGGACCCAGGTTGCACAAGGTTGGCTCCAATATGACTCAAGGTGCTGGCGCCCTTCCGCCGGCCCCCAAAAGGAAGACGGCTGCGTAACTACATACCTTTCGGATCTTCTGAGGTGTCTCTTGGAGTCAGCTTGGAGGTTTCTGGGGTTGCGTTTGAGAGCCCTCGGGATCTTAGTGCGGCTTTGTGGGGCCCTGTTGGGGGCTGTGGTCCTCTTGGAGCTATCCTGGAGGCCATTGGTCCAGAAAGAGGGGGTTTTACATGAGGGCCCCCACGCGTGGATTCCGAACATTTGTTTCTTGGGCCCTTTTGAGAAGAGCCCTTACCCGCCCAGAAATGCATGGATTCGCTATGGGGGGCATCTCGCCGATCTATCAACACTGCATCGCCGATTCAAGCTCGATGTTTCCCCCTTAGCCGGCCCCCCCTAACCTCGCCACTATCATCTAGGGGCGCCGTTGTGACATTCGGGGCTATACTGGAGTGCTTCTGGGCCTCTCTGAGCTCTAGCCGTCCTGAAGCTTCACAAGCCCATCGGAATCGAACAGCCGAGAAGTCACCGTAAAACAAGCTAGTAGTTGTTGACTGCTTTCGGTCTCTTCCGGGCATCCTTTGGAGGTTCGGGGGCCACTTGGAGCTGTCTTTGGGGGTCTTGGTCGTGTATGAGCGCTTTAGAGCCGTCTTTGAGGGCATCTTTGGCATCTTGGGGCCGTCCGAGAGTTGATTTGGAGGCTCAGTCGGCCTGGGAGATGCGCTGGAGAATAGCCCCCCCCACCGTTCAAATGGAATTTCGGATCTCCGCGGGGGTGTGAGGGGGATGGGGACAGCCAATCAGCTCACACGCCTTCTCACCCCTGGCAGGCGGGGGATCGGTGGATTCCAACCAAGAGGCCCCAATACAGTCCGAAGATTGCACAGAAAGCAGCAGGGCTTTCTGCACGCTGGCGAATTTCTACAGATTTCCGCTGACGTGGAAGAGGAAGTTTGGAAATCACATCGGCCAAATCGATAATCTTGGTGGCTACTATTGAGGAGGCGCAGATATGGCTTAGCGACACGTGGATTAGCGACAGGTCCCGTTTCCGCACAGAAATGGCGCGCTCTGTCGCCAAATCGAGCGGCCTTGGCCTCATGTCATGGGATGGCACCTTCGAGCTTTCGCCGATCCGTGGATCTGGCGCCCACGCGCCAGATCCACGGATCCCTAATCCCCTAGTCCCGTCACCGTTCCAGCCCAGCGCCTTGCTGGGTTGGCGACTGCTCGGGATGGGGCGACTGCTCGGGGTGGCGACACCTCGTGTCCAGAGGCTTGGGAGAGCAGCGCATGCGACACACTCTTCCGCAGCGTGTCGGGGGCTCTCTTCTCGTCTACGTGGTCTTCACCCCTCGTCTTCAGTTCTTTCCGGGGCTTCTGCGGAGCGGTCTTGGGGGTCCATGGGGTCATTTTGGGCCCCCTTTTGGGGCCGTTTCAGAGCTCTCTTGGACCGTCCGGGAGCCACCGTTGCTGTCTGGGGGGGGGTCCTGCGGCCGTCGTGGGGCCACCCCGGGGCCGTCTCGGGGCGTCGAGGGCCTCCCCGAAGCCGCCTTGGGTCCCTCCCGGGGCCCGATTGGGCCAGTGTGGGGCTCTCTTGGGGCCGTCCTGGCCCGTCTGGGGGCCCTCTTTGGCTATCTTGGGGCCATCTTGGGATATGCGTGGGCCATTTGTGGGTCTTGTGGGGCCGTATTGGGAGACGTCTGGAGCTGAACGAAGTCCGAGAATGTGTAGGCGCCCAAAGCTTTGAACCACCTACCTACGGGGAATCAATGATGTTGGCCTTCTCCGCGCCCTGCTAGGAGTCCAGGCCGTTTTGGTGTCTTCTTTGTGCAGATGAAGGTGGGCTGCGGCCTACTAAGGAACCCATGCCAGACAGTTCCCGGCATTCTATATTCTAAAGCGAACTGAGGGACGTGAGGAGTGGAAGCGAGCGTGCGCCCGCGGCCGCGTCGGCTCAAGCGGCCGGCCGCCCAAATGTGACTGTGTCTCACTGCGAGGCACACGATCGCTATCGAGAGCAAAAGGGTATTCCTATTGCTTGAGATGGCATCTCCTTTCATACTGGGACTATCGTTACTACGGTACAACAGAGCGTGAGCTTGGCTTCGCCTGAGGCGAAGCTGTTGGCTGGGCTTTCCAGCCCCCTTCAAACTTGGTAGCGGAGCTGGCCTATGGTGGTCACCTCTTGCTCTACTCCTCACCATCCACGGCATTATCTTGTGGACTACGGATAGAGCGGGACATCAAGGTGCAGCGGGATTGCGCGGCGGAGTGTATATAGATACGCAGTGCCGCAAAGAAACTTGCAGCGATACCTCTGTCCAAGCGGAGGTCCCTCACTCACATTTCACATCCCTGCGCTATTACACTCCTGAAGTCCACCCACCTACTCCGATTTGAAATTGCTTCGAAGACATCATGCATGACAACATGCGATACGATATACTGCCGCTTCTGACCCGACTCAGACTTACGACAGCAAAGCATACGTCCCCACCGATTACATCCGATTACGACCTACGAGGCCATTGGATTGAGGTTGCTATCTTTGGGCTCATATGGGTCGCTATTGGGTGCGCGGTAAAACAGATGCGGGGCGGAGACGACACTAGAACGACTGGCCCCCGTCGGGGCCCTGCCGGCCAAGTACCATTTCGCGAGTTCGCCCGCGAAGTACATGCCTGGATCAATGTGACCACAGGCAACATGACGCCCTCCCAGCAAGCCGCCGCATTGCAGCGAGGTTTGGGAGGTCTCGCGCGGACTATCGCCATGAGAGTCCCCGCAGCAGCCCTTAAATTTGGCGTCATTATAGGCGTTCGCCACACCGACGGCGTCACCTACATTATGTTCCTTTAAGTACGAATTTTGAGAACCTAAATAAAACAGGAACGCCAACTTAACTCTGGCACGGCTTTCAGTGGCGTTCGAGTCCATGCGGGTGAACGTATCGACCAGACGTTAGCACGGTTCGAAATAGCCCGCTACGAAGCTGAAACCGCCGGCTTCAATATCCCCAACTTCCAGATCTGAGCAGTAATTATGATCAAAGCTCTTGGAGTGGGGACATCGCGTGCACAACATCTCCTGCGGCCTCTGAACCACTACGTGCCGAGGGACCAACCACAATTTGACGCTCTACTTGAACACATGAGGTCATATGCTCACATAGCTGAGAGGACCCCTGGCAATATTGGTTGTATCTTTAGCCACGGTCACCGAACCGAGACCTTCCACGCAGAGGCTAACGCAGGGCAGCCTGCCAACAACGTCCGGAAAGATGACCCACAGCCAACTGAGACCTTTGCACTGTTGGCTCAGAATGGTAGAACGGCTTCGGGGTCGCAAGCCCCCTGGGCTAG